ACATAGCTTGACAGGGCCAGCAGGGACATTGTTTCATCTCTTTCGGAGTCCTCAGCACAGTGGATGGTGCAGAGTAGGCACTCAGACACTTTGTGAATTAATTATGCATTGTGGAGACACAGTGGCCATTATAGTCTGACAGACCTGGATGTGGGTCCCAGTTCTGTCACTTACTAGGGATGTGGCCTTGGGCAAGTTATTTCACCTCCGAGACTGTTTCCTTATCTGTGAAACATGGTGATGAGTGTATCTGTATATCAACACACACACATTCCTTTAAAACAATACAAGGGTCTAAACCCCCAGCAGTGATACCTGGCACATATACTTTTGGGGGATTTGGAGGGTTTTTTTGAGGGGAGATTCTTATTTTTATTTCATGTTAAATCACAGAGCTACCATTAGGTTTCAGCTGAGGCATTTCTGTCTAAGATGGTGACAATCTGGGCTTTATCTCTGTGAAATACCTAAACTAAAAAAAAAGTGTCCTTGTGATTTTTCCAACTCTGTCATTGATCCATTCCTGTCCTGTCCCCACTACCTTCTCCCCTTCTCTCCCTTTGCCTCAAAGAAAAGTAATAGCGCCATATAGAAAGCTCGAAGATATAACTGACCTTGTACACCTTTAATTGAGGACAGAATTTGCTAAAGAGCATCCAAAAACCCACCAGTGGTTTACTTTACAATCTGTGTCCTGGCTAGACTGGCTGTTGGCCGTATAATTTGTCTAGTTTTGTCTGGAATCTTAGACTATTCAGCTGCTTCAGGGCAAAATCTTTTGGGGTGTCGTTAAATGGGATTGATAATTGGCTTCTGATGAATATTCATTGTGACTAATGACTTTGGGCAAATTTTACGCATACTATCTTTCTGTTCTCTCACTGAGTGAGATTTTGGTAGGATCATTTGCTCAACTTGCACTTCAGTTGTATATTCACAATACCTTTTTGTTGACTACACTGCATATTATATACTTTTATTATTTTTAAATTTTGTATTCTGTAAGGAATGAGCATAGGCTTTTAGGACCTTTTTTAGAAACCTGGTTAGAGTTATTTTTAAAATAAATGGCCAGTCATACTTTACAGGATGTAATACATTATTTCTGATTAGGCATAGATATATGGTAAGACTTTTCTTAAAATCGGCTTAGCCACTATTGTTAAGTAAGGATACACATAGTTTGTGCCATTCAGTATTTTGGAAAAGAGCCAAACAATTCCCTGTTTTGTTTGTTTGTTTCCTTAAACAAATGGGTGAATATATTTTACCCCAATCGCAGAGATTTGACCCTTAGGAAACCCCCCAATGAACTGAACAAACATCTTAAAAGCTTGATTTTTTTTTTTTTTTTAATGAAGAATAAGTTTTAAATCTTGGCATTTAGGTTGGTAAATTTTTTTGGAGGTAAGGAGACATGAAAAGAATATTGTCTGAAGATAAGATGTCTGCTGCTTTATTGCTTGAAATGGGATTTTGACCCAAACTAATTTAAGCTAAAGAGTCAGGTAATCAAGTTCTGTCTCAACCAGGACTATTCTATTGAATGACTTTTTCAAAGAGAATTGCAAATTAATTCAAGCGATGATGTTACCCTCCATTTGTATGGCACCTTACAGATTTTGAAGTGCTTTTATTTACTTATTTGATCTGTTATTGAGTTAGAATAGATGTGTTATTGAATGAATGGGTGAATGAATAAATGACTTGGTTTTCCAAAAGTGGCATATTTGTGTGTCTAAGCATACTGTTATTTTGGAATTTGAGTCATATACCTCGCTCTGTGAGACTTGTGAAAATGTTGGTACCATCATGTTAAAAGCCAAGCCACCAAACTATCTTTATGTTCTGTATTTACTCTCAGTAAGAATTGTTTTTATTCAGGACACATCGCACTGCCTATCACTTATATGTATATATTTATGCTGTGCCACTGAGAACATGGAGATGAACAGAGACAGGGTCTTTCTGTACTTTACAGTCAGGGGACAAACATGCAGACAGTTACAGTCCAGTTGATAATGGGGGCCTATGCCCAGGGGCGCCAGGTAAGGCTTCAGAGAGGAAGGTAGTGCTTATATAGAGACCTGACGGGGGACTTTATAAGGTCAGTTTAGGGGCGACAGGTGGAAAGGGAAGGGAGGAAAAGGAGTATATAACTCCCGTGGTCCCCAACCCCCGGGCTATGGACCAGTACCAGTCTGTGGCCTGTTAGGAACTGCACCACACAGCAGGAGGTGAGCATTGGTTGAGCAAGCAAAGCTTCATCTGTATTAACAGCCTCTCCCCATCACTCGCATCACCGTCTGAGCTCCAGCTCCTGTCAGATCAGCAGCAGCATTAGATTCTCATAGGAGCACGAAGTCTACTGTAAACTGCACATGCGAGGAATCTAGGTTGTGCTCCTTATGAGAATCTGATGCCTGATGATCTGAGGTGGAGCTGAGGCAGTGATGCTGGCACTGGGGAGTGGCTGCCAATACAGATTATCATTAGCAGAGAGGTTTGACTGCACAGAGAGCATAATAAATCAATCGCTTGTGGACTCATATCAAAACCTTATTGTGAGTGGCAAGTGACAATGTAATAATAATAGAAATAAAGTGTAACAATAAATGTAGTGTGCTTGAATCATCCCAAAGCCACGTCCTCCTCCCCAACCCCGCAGTCCATGGAAAAATTGTCTTCCATGAAACCAGTCCCTGGTGCCAAAAAGGTTGGGAACCGCTGCATAACTCTTCCTGAATCTGCAAAAGATTTATTCTGAGGATAAACTTGGAGAAGGCAGTAAAGAGTGTGGCTGGAGATGCTGCTCTAAAGGTAGACTAGAGCTGCTACAGGCATCCTGTGCCAGACGTGCCCCTGAAGACTTCTGAGTAGGAAGTGATGTGGCTGGACCTGCGCTTTAGGAAGAGCACCCTGGCAGCTCGTTAAAGGGTGAGGAGAGAGAGCCCGGGCCCAGGCCCAGTGGAACCCTGCGGCCTGCCTTCAAGGTGGGATCAGAGGAAAGTTGGCTCATTCTCCACTCACTCAATACCAGCAAAGAGTTTTCATCTCTAAGAAGCCCTGAAGGGGCTGGCCACGTATATATGTGTCAGCCTGTTTTATGTGGGAACCTACCAACCTAGATTGGGAAGGGATGGACTGAACCTGCGAGCCTTGGCGGAGTGGCAGGGAATAGCTCTTGAGCGCTTGCCGGAGCATTTCCTGTTGACGGTCTGTACCTGATTGCAAGAACAGGGTCTAGGGAAAAGGGAGGGGCGGGGGCGGGCAGTGGCCCTGGCTTTAATACACAGCTCCCACAACTGTGAAACATCAGCAGAATATCCAATTTAAAGCTGTTCATGTTACACTAACCTCTGGGATTCTTTTAACTGGGCCTTGGCACATCACTCTTTCGCCACGTAAATGTCCTTCTGTCAGCAAAGGCCAGTTAACGGCTTCCAAAAGAAGGAGGGTCCTCATGGGAACAGGCTTCCCTGAAACCAAAGAAACATTAAAGAAAAAAGACAGAAAGAAACATGTGTTGTTGGCTTTTGTCACTTCATAGCTGTATCTCCAAAGGTTGATTTTTTTCCCCCTTTTTTTTCACTATATTGAATTTTATAGCAATTATATCTCTTTATATTATCTTTGTTTCCTAAATTTTTAATTGTATCAAATACTGATTTTTATGATATGTCTAGCTCTTAAGGAAAAAAAAGGTAGACAAAATAGGGGACATGTCAAGAAAATAGGGAGAGGAAGGATTAGTCAGTAAACAGTGGCAGGGCAATTGATTAACTATGTGGAAAAAATAAATTCTCACCTCAGTTCTTAAACTTAAATTAATTCCAGATGGATTAAAGAGTTAAATGCTAGGGAAAATTTTGGAGGACTTAGGATAAAAGCAGTGGAAGCTATCATGAAGGAAAAGATTTGTCTACATAATTTCACCCAGAAATTCAAAGAAAATTAAGGATAAATTATTTTCAAAAACATTACATTGCATATCACTAATGATAACTTATAAGTCAATGAAAAAATTCTAATACTCATTTTTTAAAAAATGGGCTAAGAATATGAACATATCATTTACCTAAGAAATAGTCAAGAAACATATGACAAAATGTTCAGCCTCAGTCATAATCAGAGTAATTAAAACCAAAGTAAGATGGATAAAATTTGAAAACTGCTAACGACGACTATAATGCATAGTGCTGGAGAAGGGCAGAATCGTGATGTGTGGCTAGGGAGGTGTAAAGAGCTTCCATCCTTCATTTATTTATTACAGTAACATTTTTGTGATACTTATGTATTATATTTATTAAGTACCTTAAAATATTTATAACCTTTGTCTCTGAACTCTACTTCTAAGAACTGTGTATAAAAATTATTGACCTATTGTGATTGTATAACTTAATGGTAGAAGAATGGTTAAATATAGTATGTACCTTAAAATATTTATAACCTTTGTCTCTGAACTCTACTTCTAAGAACTGTGTATAAAAATTATTGACCTGTAGTGATTGTGTAACTTAATGGTAGAAGAATGGTTAAATATAGTATGGGAAATTCATTGAGTATCATTAAAAGATATATTTCTAAGAATATTTAAAGATGTGAGAAAATGGCATCAAAATGTTAGCTTTTAAAAAAGCAAAAGAATGCTGTATTTACAGTACTCCTAATTTTATTAGAAAAGGAAAATACAAATGCTATGTGTATAATACCCTAAAATGTTAATCTTCAGATGATGGTGATTTGTTTTCTTTTATCCCTTTGTTTCGTAAATTTTCTATTGTAAGTATGCATCAGCTTTATAATCAGAAAAAAAATTTTTTTTTTGAAGAGCGAACTCTAAGGATGATTGAATTAACTTAGAATTATTTCTGCAGATGTTTCAGCTCATTTTAAATATGTTGATGAGTATGTATTTAATTTTATTGCTGAAATCAGCTGGCACTATTTCCTCCCTTTGATTCTTTTCGCCCTGAGTCTCTGATTTGCTTCTGTTGCAGTTAACGGCCTGCATCCACGGATCTGCCGCGATGCTCTACCCCATGTACTGGCAGCACGTGTACATCCCCGTGCTGCCGCCGCATCTGCTGGACTACTGCTGGTAAGGCTGCCGCTGACCCGGCCTCTGTTTTTCCTCTTCCAGGAGCTGACCGGGCATGTTAGGTCTGTAACTTGTCGTAATGCAGTTGGTGACTCTAAATTAAAATACTAACCCTCAGAATAGCATCTGTTTTAGACCACCTGATCACATGGCCCTTTATTTTCCCAAACAGTTTTCGTATATGTCATGACATTCTGAAGAGTTCAAGAGAGGGAGTGATACTTTTCCCATTTCTCAGTTTGGGGAAACAAAAACACCAAGAGGTTGTGTGCTATTTTTTTTTTTTTTTTTTTTTTACCCAGAGACAAATTGGAAACTGGGGACAGGAACAGTCAAGATCCCCCAGGTCTTCAAGTTTCAGCTGTGCCCTGGCATGTTCCTTAGGACTTGCTCTCAGCTGTGGTTTGGGAGCACAGGCCAGACATAGCAAAACCGTCTGAAGTTTTCTGATGAGAATTTCACTGTTCGGTGAAACGTGTTTTAGTGGAAGGAGGAAGGAAAGGCTTTGGAGTCAGCTCTGCCACCTTGGGCAAGTCACTTGGCTTTAAGACTTTGTTTCCTCACGTGCAAAACAAAGTTGTTAAATACGTAATTTTATAAAGATGAATGGAGATAACAGATGAAAGGACCTCAAGTAGAAAAGCTGGCTCATGGTTGTTGCTCAGTAAGGGTTTCTGCAGAAGCATCATCATCCTCACTATGTGTCTTCAACAGATTACTGAAGAAGATTGTGTGACTGGTTTAGATCCGTTTTCCTTATGAATAATTTCTTTCTCTAATTTAATGTGATTAAAGACATTGTCTCCAAACAGCTCAAGTCAGCAGAAGTCGATAAGGGAGCATAGTATTTACATAGGGAAAGGCACTAACTGCCTGCCAGAAATTGAGAGCTTCAGGAGAAAGGGACCCATTTGCGGGGTTGTAGCCCTGTTGCTTTAGAACAGATGATTGAGGACATTTATCACTGGTTCGGAGTGATTGAGTCCAGGTCAGTCCACTTTTGCTGAGATCTCCAGCCTGTTGTGCAGTCATCTCACTGAAAAAGTTCACCCGGGTAGCCAAATCGTCTGGGAGCTCAAAGGCATTCCACAGTCACTCCTAATTTGAATGCGTTGGGCTCCCCCTCCTCCCAGGAAGCCAGGGGTATAACAAAGATGTAGCTCAGGGCCATGAAGTAGAAATCAGTGGCTCTCTCTTGTGCATTGTGCAGTAAGTGAATTGGACTAATTCTTTCTTTCTTATATAGCTTTCTTATCAAGGATAAGATGAGAAAGATCTGATCATATCCATACCCCTCTCCCACCTGCTATAAGATTAAGGGGTAACGTGTTTCCCACCACGTAGAGTATGTAATCCTGGCTTATTTTAAATTTCTTCTTGATTCCTCAGGTAGCTGGGCCCCACATTTTGTTCACTATGTCTCTTTATACCTTGGTTTATTTTGGAAATTATTTTTAATTAATGGTGACTTCTAGGTACTGCTGGTCTAGATTTTATTTTTCATCTCTTCTGCAGTAGGTAGGTAATTTTTGCAGATAGGTAAGGATAAGGATATAAACCCCTTATAACAAATTCACCTTATTACATTAAATATCGGTGTTTCCTCTTTTTATCAGGGAATATTTTCAAACCCAGGGCCCATGCCAGACACCCTCCCCTTTATCAGGTTTTCCAGCATCTCCCCTTCCCTTGGGGATTCTGGGGAATGCTGAAGTCACTCCAAGTGAAGATTGTTAGACTCCTGTCCCCACTGCCATGACCTGGTGCAAACTCCACTCTGTCGTTTGGCTTCTAGCACAGTACCTAGGAACCTTCATCACCTCCCTATCACTGTCACCTGCCTGTCTCCGGGATCTCCATCGCCTCTTATTTGTTTGGACGTCCCCATCTCATTTCCGTCTCATCCCCTGCCATCCCCTTACTCCCACTGAGCTCACACTTGCTGTATTTTGTTGTCTATAGAGAGGTTCCCTCCCTCCCTCAGAGAGACCACGTGGTAGCACAAATATGGTTGGGGCTGAGAGGAGGACATCTGAGTCCCTGTCTCAGCTCCACTATTGCCTAGCTGTGTAGCTTGGGGAGTGACTTTGCCTCTCTGAATCTCTCCTTGGGTAGAGAGCTGAAAATACTAGAACTTATTCTTTAAATTGTTTTCAGGATGAAATAAAATAATGTATACGCAAAAGCACTTTATAGACCGAAAAATGCTATCAGCCACCCAGCTGGGTCACACAGCTGTGTCATTAAACCATTTGAAGCTCACTCGGTTCCCCTCTGATTCTGATTTCTTCTCCTTGGCCACCTCTCCTCCTCCCTTCTTCTGAATACCCTTTGTGTCTTCACCTTGGCTTTCCGCCTCCACCCTTGCTGCTCCCTCTCAGTTCTGCCTCTTCACTAACTCCCTCTGGTTCTTCTTGCCTTCCCGCTTGCTCTGGACCTTAGTGAGTTTTTTCAGTACAGCAAATGTTTACTGATGCCCAGGCATGTCCCAGGCACTGTGCTAAGTGCAGGGAAGACAGCAATGAAGAGTCAGTCTCAATCAAAAGGGTCTCATAGAACTGGGTGTAGAAGACAGGCCACTAGCAGATCATTCGCACACAGGTATAAGATCCATGAGCAAGGAGCTGTTCCAGAGTTTTTCACCAGTTTCCCAGGCCTTGCCACTGGCCCTGGGCACCTCTACCATCTTCTTATCTGCTCCTTGTCTGGCAGACACTGCTGGTGAAAGTCTGAAAGCCATTGCAGAGAGGTCCCACTAGAAAGTGGTGCTGTCTTAGCTTGCCCGCCTCCTCTGCAGCCATCCCGAGCCCTCACGCTGGGCACCAGGCTCAGGGAGCGGGGGGATGCATTCTCGTCTCTGGCAAAAAAGAGAGGCCCTGTAGGTCTGTGTTCCCACAAGTGCCTTTCTCCTCATCCCACAGCGTGTTACTTGCTGCCTGTCTGTCTTCTCCTTTCCTACCAGCCCTGAGAAAGGAAAAATAGTGTGTCCCAGGCCACTGACTTCACCTGGACCTGCATCCTGTCTCCTGAGGCTTCTGTGAGACCCATCTGACCTCTGTTCTCCCTGGTACCATTAAACGCCCCTTTCCGCTACGTCCCTCCTCTCCCAACAGATGTGTGCTGGTGCCCCCTTCCAAAAACTAGACCTTTGCTTTAGTTTGCTCTTCTTTTTGAGCTTCTGAGCCAACTGTCTTTGGGGTTTTTTCACTACCATGTATCTCCAAAGAAAGGACCATAAAGACCATGTTTGCTATGCAGTGGTGTTTATTGTTGGAGTGAAAGGCTGGGGGCTGGGCAGAGTCAGACAGTGATGCTTGGAGAGGAGGAGGGAGACAAAGGGAGCAAGAGGGGAAGAGAAACAACAAGACACACACCAGAGGAAGATGGAAGGGAGAGTGAGGAAAGAGACAGAAAAGGTAGGAGAAGGTAAAAAGGGGACATACATCCCCCAAGACAGACTCATAGTGACACCCAGCCCCTTTAGTGCGTAGAACCTGCTGGCAACCCCCGCCCCCACAGACATACAATACTCACATAGGCACAGACGCACACACAGACACTTGATCCCCTTCACAGACATGAGTTCCTTCCCCACAGGCATGTGCCTCAGGGTCCCCCACATGGAAAGAGATGTGTAGCCCCCGTACACGCCACACCCCGCGTGTGTGCTCCAAAGGGCAGCCTCAGAGTTCCCTGGAGAAGGGACTCACCTATGGGTCTTCATGCTGTGCTTCAGACAGGAATACCAGAGGGCTTCTGTGTTCAGGGATTGGTGGAGCTGGGTGAATCAGTATAGTTCCTCCGCCAAATAGTACAACTCAAGCTTTCCATTATTCGGACAGTTTCGGTTGCTAAATTGTTAGCTAGTTTAAAAACCAGCAGCTGTAGTCCAGAACTGTGGAGAGGAAAATGCTGTCAGTGACGTGAGTGATAACATAGCTGCCATTGTTGAACATCTCCTGAGCCCCAGTCACTGGACTTGTTCCTTTACATACGTGATCTCATTGAAATCTTCCAGCAACCCTGCAAGGCAGATATTATTAGCTGCATTTCACAGATCAGTAAACTGAGGTCCCAAGAGCTTTAGTAACTTGTCCCAGTATAGACATTATGTATGTATGTATGATTCCATTTTTATAAAAACAAACAAGAATTATATGTATATGTATATATAACACAGAAATTAGATGTATATGTCTGCATATAGAGAGGCAGAAATCTGGAAAGAAATACACCAAAATGTTTAACAGTGACTTGTGATGGGGAGGAAGGAGAGGATTCCCGTGTGCTTTTTATTTTATTTTCCATGTTTTCAAATATTTTTACAATGAGGAAGTATGGTTTTTGTAATTGAAAAGCTTTATTTTGAGAACTCAGTGTTTATTCTAACCAGTTGTTCTTTCTAGCTGCCATCTCTCCCTTCTTGTTTGCTTAGAGGATTTATTAGATGTTTTACTTTCCTGTGAAAGCTGAGCCAAGATCTTTTCAACATCATCTCTAACTCTAGCACTCCCAAGAACTGTGTCACCAGCCTGACTGAGGGCAATGATGTTGGCAGGGCTAACTTAGAAGGGAAGATTTGGCAAGGAAGGCTGCTAAGCCTTTGTCATCCCAAATTTCCACTCCAAAAAGTCGAAGCTAAGATTAGTATTTATCAGTGCCCGAGTGGGTTCTGTGATGAGGCTCCATCTTGGAACTTTCTGTGTTTACGTGATCGCAGTCTCTCTCAGGGTCTCTTGTTTTCATGAAAGAACTTTTTGACATATGACCAAAAGATGATTATGGGCCGGTGGGGATTGGTGTCTGTTCGTTAACTGCAAGATGTAAGAATGACGAAACAAAAGACCCCAAGAGAAAAAAACAGACCGTCTAGTCAAGGCTCGATTTGATCACCTTCAGCCTGCTACCACCATTTTGGTCAGAGACTACAAATGTCATGAAATTTGAATCAATGCTAATAACTTTATCGTATTGTGCTGGGTGACTTTCACCTCCATGGA